AGCGAGACAAGAAAGGAAGGGAAGAGAAAGTAAGGGGAGGGGAGGGAAGGGAAGGGAAGGGAGGGGAGGGAAGGGGAAAGAGAGAGAGATAAAGAGACAGAGAGAGAGGGGGGAGAGAGAGAGACAGAAAGAGAGAGAGACAGAAAGAGAGAGAGAGACAGGAAAGAAAAGGAAGGGAGGGAGGGAGGGAGGAATCCTCTTACTGGGCTTCTATTATGAAGCCTGTTTTTAAAATCACTTTTATTGAGACAGCATTTATGTACAATAAAAATGCACCCATCTTAAGTGTACAGTTCCATGAGTTTTGACAAATCTGTGCATCCGTGCAACCACCACCACAATCGTGATATAGAATATTTCCATCACCTCAGAAAGTTCTCCCATGCCTTTTTGCAGTCAACCCTCCTCTCATGGCCCCAGGAAACCTCTGCTCTGCTCTCTGCCACCATAGATTAGTTTCAACTATTTTAGAATTTCTATAAACGAAAACATACAGTATGTATTCTTTTCCTCTAGCTTCTTTTGATTGTCTGTTTATTTTAATGCTTATAGAGCAAACTTATGTTTACATGTGTCATAGTTTATGTCTCCTGTGTTAGATAACTGTGGGAAATAAACCTGTCTCTTATACACATCTAGATGTGTATAAGAGACAGCTCCTGTGTTAGATAACTGTGGGAAATAATAAAATAATAGGTAGGATACAACATGGGTTCATAAATTCTACTTATTATTAGCTATTTTAGATGTCATGGAATACAAAATGAACAGAGTTTTTAATATGTCTTTTCCCACTTCTGAAAACTTTACTTCATGAAGCACATAGGGACCCTCAGAATAGCATTTTATTTTTTATTTTTACTTTATTTTTATTTTTTGAGACAGAATCTCGCTCTGTCACCCAGGCTGGAGTGCAGTGGTATGATCTTGGCTCACTGTAACCTCCACCTCCTGGGTTCAAGCGATTCTTGTGCCTCGGCCTCCCAAGTAGCTAGGACTACAGGCATGTACCACTATTCCTAGCTAATTTTTTATATTGTTAGTAGAAATGGAGTTTCACCATGTTGGCCAGGTTGTTCTCAAACTCCTGACCTCAGGTGATCCACCTGCCTTGGCCTTCCAAAGTGCTCGGATTATAGGTGTGAGCCACCGCACCTGGCAGCATTTAATTTTTGAGATGCCGTTTACAATCTGCCCTATCCTTTTGGAGAAGTTTAGTTTCTAAAGTCAACCCCAGGATACACCTTGTTTCTAGTCTGGTACCAGCTGAACCATCTTCTGTCACTCAACCCCCTCCATGTCCTCTCCTGACAAAGCCGAGTCCCTTTGGGTTTTATGGAGCTCACCTAACCAGCTCGGCCCAGGCTGTAATGAGAAGGACCAGTGGAGTGTAAATTCCTGCAGGTGCAGGACAAGGGGGTTGAGAGAGCTCTCACACCAGATGTCCCCTCAGCTCGAAGGGCAGAGAATCAGGTTCCAGAGTGTCCAGGTCTCCCGCCACCCGGTCATAGATTCCTCTTGGATCCTGATATGCATCTTCAGGCCAGCGGAGGTCCCAGGGGCTCTGACAGGCAAAAAGTGGAGTTAGAACCATGGAGAGATGCCCTGTAGGTCTTCATTGAAGATCTGGGGGATACACGCCCCTGCTTAACTTCCCAGAAAAAACTGTTTTAGCTTTTACTAAACCCCCAAAATATACAAAAAA